AAGTGCAACTGTAGGAAGCTAGTGTTGAACAGACTCTCTTCATGCTGATAATCAAACAGTTATTGAAGTGCGGGCATGCACCATAGCAGCTATAGGGGCGAGGCCATGCACCGTAGGTGTCTCGTCTTTCTTTAGTGCCTCAATCTTGCGATGTACCTCTATCTTGCAATGGACCAAGATACCACTGATGTCATCATATAATGAGTCTTACATAATTCAAGTAAGCTCCAGTACATAATTATTTCCCTTGTTATGTTTCTTTCTGTGGTTTTAGGACAAAGGCATCAAGACAACACTAAGACTAAAAACTGATTTATTAAATTATTTTGTTTTTTATAGTTATTATTGTTCAAATGAAATATTTAGCACTCTGCTGCAAATGACCTTCAGTAAGCAACACGCAGCATAAAAGTGTAAATGAATTATTGTTGTACCATACATTGTTGTACTCTTGTATGTTATTTTTTTGATTAAATTTGCCAAAGAATATTTTTTAATATAACTATTTGCTATTACTATGCAGTGAAGGCATGCAATATGAAGCAGTTCATGAGGCAAGGTCCTTTGACTTGATCCACTCCAAAGATCAGAGATTTAGCAATACATAAGCTGCATAATGATCAATCATTTTTTTCAAGTATGTTAGCGGTGCAATTCTGACTGTTTGTCTGGTATCAGCAGGTAGGCATGCACAATTACTTGTTTTGAAAAAAACCCGAGTACCTAGTCCTCGCCTACGCAAAGCTGGGCGAGGCCAATAAAAGTACTAGTCTAATATTGAATGAACAACTAGATCTACAGAGATAATCAGCTAAACATACTCTCTGCATGCTTAATGAGGGGGCGGGGCTGAAGGTTTTTAGCTGAAAACTCCAAGGTTTTACATCACAAGTCCCAAAAAATGCAATGAAGTTCTGAATACAATAATTAACTAGTGCTATACAGCAAGTTTGAAAGGTTGTGATAAGTACTGATAAAGAACTAAAACTAGAACTATACGAACTGCAAATAGGACTAAGCAAATTAAAGGCTTAGAACTAGAACTAAAACTAGAACTACTTGAGAAATAAGAACTAGAACAACACTACTGCCAGCAATATTACGCTAACTCATAATATCATGATTCAGTACCAGATTGAGTTTTATTTGCCAATCAATACTGCAATTGTTCCATTTCCATGCATTCTCTGATTCTCAATAAAAAAATTATTATTATTATTAATCCTAACCTGCACCAGCATTTGTTGTTAATGATGAAGGAAGCCTCATTTCTACATTATTTTAAGAAACAAAACCGGTAAATGGCTTTACATTGAGGATACAAATGACAGGAGAGGGCTCTTTTTGGCACGGGCAATTATTATGGTGGCACTGATGGAGTTACTGCTAATGACAGACGAGGTTGTTTAAATGTAATACTTATACATGAATTTTGAATTACTGCATGAGTTTGAGGCAAATACATGTACAATATTACTGCATATAAAGCAAGCATCTATTGAAAACAAGCTCACAAGTATGTGCATGTACATTATAGATACAACAATACACCATTGAGCACCTGTGTAATGCATTATGCCTGTACATGTACATGTAGTTCAAAATTGAGTGTTTAATTTTAAAAAAATAGCTCTTGTCTTTTGCCATTTTAGCACAACCCTGCCCTGAGTGCTTTCATTTCACCTCCTAAAATATTTTAATATATGTTGTGCATGAAATTGTACAGCCACACACATTATTGCAAGAATTTGTGGCCATGTATTATTGAACATCAGCATAATGTACATGCCAATTTCTGAAAAATACCCCACTGTATCAAAAAGCATGGACACCAAATCACTTAAGGAGTTTAAAAGAGCTCTGCCAAGAAACATTACATTATCAATATGAAATGTACATAACCAAATGTACTTAAGATTACATGTATATGTAATCCTTTCTCTTTTTGTCTCTCACTTTTTAGAGTGTTGATAAAAAAATTAGTTTCATTTACCCAACACATTCCCACAGACTCAAAGTATCTTGAAGTACATTTATCCACACATCATCCTGCCCCTCCTCCAACTCCTCTGGTCTCTTGTACAGCTGTGTGTTTGGTACCAATACAACAAGGTTAGGACACATAGTCAGTGGTATACATGTACATGTTTGTCCTTTTATGTTTTGTGAAATTTAACAACTTTTAAAATCTAATTTTTACACAATGCATGTATCAGAAAAAATTAATAAAAATGGAGAATTCTGTCCTAGACTTTGGCCTGATTTTAAAGCAACTTTAGAAATTTATAATAAATCCAATTTTAATTAGAATCAGACTGAACTTTCTACACAACATAAGAGCATAAATTTGTATCAGAAAAATCTATAAAAAAAGTAAAGAAATCTGTCCTTTTAATTTTTGATGTACTATAGTACAGGAACATTATGGTAAAGTAATGCTTTGAGTTGTGATTACAGAATATTTATTAATATTTAGCTGTGCTGATACAATAATTTATACAATAATGTTCTCTTAATCAATAATATTGATTGTACATGTGTGTGTGTATAATTTGTCATTTTCTTTGTTTCTCCAGCGGGTTATTCACAGGATTCTCATTACATTAATGTGAGAATATTTTTGTGTCAGTGTGGTATGCTCTGTTTCTCCTCTTTATTATTATTTTTACTTTCTTGTTATTACACCCAAGCTTAGGAGATTATTAGTATATGTGATTCTAAATAATTCTTTATTAATGCAATTATTTTAATCATGCTAATTCTTATTAAATAAAAAATAGGACTGAAAAAAGGGATGAAGTTATGGCATTAGTAGTATCAATATAAAACTAACAATAAAAACTTATGGTATAAAAACCTGTTTTCTTAGTGACAAGACTACTGTTTTCTGCATTAATTGCTGCAATAAATTAAACCAGTTATGATATGACCTCTATTTTAAAAGAAAAAATGCTCAACAAATTGATTTTACAATTTTCTTTCTATTTCTATCTTAAGACTGACTTGCTGCATGAAATGGAG